ATACATTATTTAATTTTGTAATCAGTTTTGTTCTTTCAATGCAACTTCTTTATTTACTTCTTTGAAAACAGAATCAATTCTGATGTGTTTTGTGTAGGTTTTATCTTCAGTCAGCTTGATTTCACTACTTAGTACTATGGTGTGTACAGCTTGCAAGCACTGTTAGAAAGATGTTTGTTTTAATAACTTATTTCTACACAGTTTTTCTTTCTACAGAGCAAGACTAGTAGAAATGACAGTATCTTTAACAAAAACAAAAAAGAGACTTTAAAAGTTTGGTCAAAACATACGATTCTGTAAGCTGTAAGATATTATTCCTCTTAAGAGATGCACCAATACAACATATGGGCAAGTGCATAATTTTTAAGTGGCTTTGTTGACTTGCATAGTTACCATTTCAAAGCCAGGTGGGATAGTATATATTAATTCACCACTATAGTATTTTAAGTTTTGCATCCCAGTTAGAGTTCTGTCTCGTGACAATTTGTGTCTCAGGGCTTAGATGTCAGCCAGAAGCAGATAACACTATTGTTATTCACATATTTCATTGATTCACTCACTCTGAGTGCAACACTTTTGCTACTGCTAATTATTGACTCAAGAACTCCGTTAAAACAGTGCTCATTTGAACAGCTTGTGTGATATAAGTTATTTCTATTAAAGGAATTTTTGAATGTACGGGAGTTGAAGAGGGAGCTCTTCAGTATGTTGTCCTTACTTCTGTGCTTCAGTCTTGTGATTCCAACACTTTCTCATGAAAGCTACAGAAATATTTCATTCTTTGCTTTTCCTTTTTTAGTGAAATAGATTTTCTCAAGAATGAAAACTTTGCTGTGTCAACAGTTTATGGTGTAGCTCCCCATCCTTCTTTAAAACAAGTGCCTCTCACAGTCTCAGAGGACAATGGACGGTACTTGGATATCAAGAGCTCTGAGAATGACAATAAACATGGAAATGCTGAGGAAACAAGCCTTTCTTTATCAGCTGAAGTGGATTCAAGGAATTCTAAAGACGATACACTAAATTCTGTGCCCTGTAAAGAAACAGAGAAGCTATCCTCTTGTGCTCCATCAACTAAAGCTGCAGTCCACTTCGATAAACCTAATAGGTTAGTGATAAGTTTTAAACTGGAATGCTTTAATTAAAAATTTTTGTGAAGTGGATAGGTATTTTTCTGACAGTAAAATTCTGTATATTCATAGATCATTTGTGTTTTGAATGCAAATATAAGATTTAACATACCTTTAGGGTACAGTGCTGATATTTTCATATTGTTCCTAATCTTTTTAAGAAGGAGTACATCTGACAAACCTACATTTATTGTATCAAGTTTAAGGGTTTCTTTTCATCTCGTACTTGTTTCTAAAACCAGTCCTGTTCCTTGCAACGAAAAAAAAGCTAAAATCAAAATGGTGAATGGGAAGACAAGATATTTCCATTCTCTTTTTAAATTTTAATTTCATAATGAAATGTCTTCTGTTCTGCTTGAAGAGTGGTTGGGAAATTTTTTACTTTTCCTATGTAGATGTGTATAACTCTCTTAGAGTATCTTAGAGAGCTGTATGAATGGTTTTTTTTTAAATAAATAGAAAGGGTGTCCAATGACATTTTGCTTTTTGAGTTTTGACTTTGGGGCAAGTCTTCACTGGGTAACTATGATTCTTTTAATTAAAATAGGGTATTCATATTGTGTTATCTCTCTCATGAAGACTGAGTTTGTGTGTCTGAGTGTTCTTGAGAAAGCCTCTCCGATCTACACAGTCTTTTTAAGCATTATAGTGAAGAGGGGAAGTAACATGTTCATTATGTAATAGATAAACCACTGTGTAGCCATCAGGAGTAACACAGACCACAAACTTAATGAGGGTATGTACAATTTCTAAAGTTACCATTGTGGACAAAGATGCCCAAGTAGCTCACCTTACGGTCTTACTATTGCTATTCCTAGGGGAGCAGGTAGCCATTCTGCTTTGTATTTTTTCAGTTCCCTTAGCTTTCTTTTGCTGGTGTTGATACAGTAATATGTTTCTAGAATTATCTTCCGTCTGAAAATACCAGGTAGAAATCTATGTGTGATATTCTGTGCAGGTGGAAAATCAATACAAGCTGGGGGGGGAAGAAGAAGAAGAAGGAAAAAATTACCCCTGCTAGTAATTAACTTTTCTTGCAAACCCCAAGTGTCCTGTTTCCTCTGGATTTCCTGAACTTCTTGCACTGAGTCTTAGGGGCAGGGGCATTTTTTCAGTCGCATCTTAACTTTAGAATTGAACAGGAGGAAAGATTTCTCATTTCTGAATACAGTACCTTAGAGTCTTACTACAAATTCTTTCTCTTCTAGTTGAATATACTAGTGGTTAACAGGAAAGTAAAACTCAGCATAGATTTTTCTGGAAAATTTGCAGTAGTTCCATTTAAGCTTTCCAGATTATTATTCTTTTTTAATTTCTTTCATATCCTAGCTGAATATCTAGACTATATAATAATCAAAACTTATAGCTGTCGAACATGGATTGCTATAAACTTGTCTACCTACTTTCATCTGTGGCTTGTTGCAAGTTTCTTTTTGCTCAGAGCAATTGGGAGTGCTGGGAAGCATTAAATGCATGAATATTAGATTGATGGTTTGGGGATAGTGAGGATGGGTATCAAAATAGGATGAGATCACTGAGTGAAGAAGGAACTATGAATATCCAGTGGGATTTATGACAGTAGTCTCTAGAAGAACAGAATTTGTTTTGCTGCTCACAGCTCTTAAATATAATTGCACGTGGATTTATTTGAAAAGTAGTTGAATAAAGCCTTGAATCCCCATTGAGGTAACTTCAGAAGTCCCCTCAAATGCAGTTCACTGCAGAAATAAGTAACGCACGTGTAATATGTAGCTATTTTTGTACTGAGTTTTGGGTTTAACGTGTCGGTGAAGGGTCAAAGGAAACCATGTTTGATACAGTGTTTTATAGATCCGTATCACTAAATTTTCTTCCTGGATTATACACTTGGTTTGTAATAATACAGTAAATCTTTTCATTAAGAATTATATTTGTTAAGTATTTTGAGATCTGTGGGAGAGGAAGCATGATAGAAGTGCTGGATATTTATTTATTTCAGTCCAGGGGTCGTTACTTGTAGAAGACAATTACTGCAATTTATTCAGAATGTATTAAGAGATATTAAAAGACTCTATCCTAAAAGGCAAGATCGTTACTGCTGTAGCTAGGGAGTGGATTCTTGGCATAAGTCTTGCCCAAATGGGAAGAGAGGATAGAAGAGGCAAGTGAGCGTGCTTTGTGTGACTGCACTCACAGCAGCTGTGCGTGCATGCCCGCAAACGAGGACATGGCCATCATTGGAAAAATGCCTTGTCTAACAGATTGCAGTAGAAAGCACTAGCAGCAGTTTAAATAGGTTGCACCACATGTATTTATTCAACTCGTTTTAGGTGTTTGGTAGTTTGCACCAAATACAAGGTGTTTTCTGTATATAGCAGTCACTCCTGACTCTTTCAGTGAATTGACTCTTTTGTCCCAGTGTTATATGGAATAGAATAGTAGTACTTGGTTTTTGAATTCATCATACTTTCTTATATTTTAACATCTTCGCTGCTGGCATCTGTTGGCCCTTGAAAACACTTTCCACTGACTTGTGTGCAAGAGGCCTGGGTCTGTCATCGTTTCTGTCCAGCATAGCCATCAAGGATTTTACTAGACTATATCAAGGAGAAGCTTTCTTGACTCTAAATATAGCCAGCAATTGCAATGGGATCCATGCTGCCCAGAGCTTGCTGTTAGTTAACCCACAGGGAAAGTCAGTGGCGTATTGTCATACTTAGTTTTTAGTCTCTGCAAAATGGGGATAGAACTTTGCCCTTACGTAGGATTTTAATTAAGGTTTCAAGTAGGAAAGGATCTGATTTTTTGCAGGACGAACGCCAAGGTAAAGGACAGCCCGGTCAAAAGGCTGGCCAAGACCTTACCACTCTTTATGTTCAGCTGCTGCTTTGCAATGCATGCCCCTGTTCTCCCAGTGTAAATAAACCTAAAGCCTTGAGTAGATCCTGTAAATCTGTCATTCAAGAATACTTTTACAGAATAAGGACTAACGTACTGTTAAACAGAGGTCCTTTACAACTCGCTACCATCCGAGTTGTTTAGTAACTTTTTTAAAGTGAACCCTTATACAAAACCAAGCTGATTGAAATTAGAACAAACTTACTTCATTAAAATTTAAAACATGTTTTAAAAACCCATACTGCAAAGAAAGAAACTTGATTTTAAGTAATAAACATAAATTCTTATTTATCATATTTTGTAAATAGAAGAGGAAAACTACTCTGGTATATTTATCCGTATCCTCCTGGATTAGTTTAAACAATTATAAGTAGGAACTTAGATTCTTAATGTGCTTTTTTTGGTTAGAAAAGGGTGAGTTATGATGTATTTACTAGAAATAGTGTGATGCTTCAATCTATTAGATAAAAATATATATGTTCATACACATAATTGCATGTGCGCTCAGGTACACAAAATAGCATTTTTAAGAGTTGAAAGGTGATACCACTTTCCACGTAAGAAATAGGAATTGCCTCCTCCTTTAAACTCATATAGTGTTATTAGAGGATTCAAACAGCAGATGATGTAGGGTGAGATGCTTTCTGTGCATGTTTTGGAAGACAAATGTTCTTTTCCTCTTCAAGCATAGTGGATGAGGCAGTTTTAGATTAGCATCTAAATGCAAGCCTCAGATAAGGCAGAGGGAGTTGTCATTGCTGGGAAAAATAAGAGGAGGATGCTGCTGATGCTTGCCTCTTTTATGTAATGGTCAGTCCAGGAACTGTTTTCTGAGAACATTTCTGCTAAATTATCCTCCTTGGACAAGGTTGTTTTGAGACTCTTATCAGGGCTTTCTGTGTATGCTTAAGGCTTTGAGGAGCTTGGCTGTGTTGGCTGATGCTGTGCATGGCCATGAGGCAGTACTTCTGTAGATACACATCTGCATTAGGGATTAGGCAGCAATTTAAGGTTAGTTTTGAGGTTATCGCTATACATTTGAATCCAACTTTTAGATCCCAAAGTGGCAGTTGAGCAATCTCTATTTAATCCTGAAGCTTGTAAGTGGCTGACTACTCAAATGTTTTTATGCAATGTGCAGAATCAGAGCATTAAGCAAAAATACTGTTCTTGTGATTTCTGTCCCTCCCCCCCAGTTAGCATAATTGTATGCTTCCTCTTGTATTGCTAAAGCTTCCTTTTCTTCATGCTTTAGTCCTATTTTTGTCTGTGCAGCAGTTTTAAAGATGTTATATTTTTCGGAACTGAAAGTAACTTCATAATTAGGACACCCACTTTTTTTCTTGCTACAGACTAAGCACCCTAAAAGTCAAAGATAATTTTGAACAAAAACTTCTGCAGTATGCTTCACTTAAAACATGCTTTCTGAATGTCATTTTACCTAGCTGGTTAAACCAGAGTGAAAGGACTTGTTCAGTCAACTTTCCTGACCTATGCTTCCCCCCCCCCCTTTTTGACGATGTTTCAGGAAATTGTCACCAGCTTTCCATCAAGCACTACTGTCTTTCTGTCGGATGTCAGCAGACAGCCGTTTGGGATCAGAGGTATACTTCCCAGTTGACATAAACTAGAAGATCCTTTATTCTGCATGGCAGCAACAGTTAAACAAGCAATAATTGCTTTGAAACAAGACTTACTACCATATATGGAGAGATAAATTTATGTGCACGAAACTTAAGAAATAAGGATATGCTTTCAGATTTTAGCTTAAATATGAAACCTAGTGATAGATATGTAATTATTGGGAAGTTTTGAGTCTCTACAAGTATATTCATGCTTTTGGAGTTACTGCCAGATCAAAAACTTATGGCTTAATGTGTGGGAGTAAATTAAATTTGTTCTGCTAAGTGATCAGTCTGCTGCAATTCTTATTATTCCTTTGAAAGGGTATTTTTCTGTACCTGTGCATCATTTAAAAACACCAAACAAACAACTTGGTTTTCTAGGTATCTCGGATTGCAGACAGTGAAAAAAGTGTCATGTTAATGTTGGGACGCTGCCTGCCTCATATTGTTCCTAATGTGCTGCTTGCAAAGCGAGAGGTGAGGAACCCTGAAATTTTACTTTTTATTTTTACCAGGATGTTTTCTCATTCATTTTGAAGATGATGTGTCTTAATTTCCTGAAAGTCTGTTACTTGCAATCATGTTCTTACTTTTGTGCATGCATGTCTGCTCCTAGAAAATGGTTTTACACCTCTGTCAGGTAAGTTCAGTAAACCTGCATGGTATCCTAATATTTCTTCCTTTGCTTAAGGCACCCATTAGCATTCAGCAAGACTAACTGTTACTGTAGGTCCATCTGTTTGTGGTAGCACAAATGTTTTTGTTAGAGAAGACCATGGTTAATGTGTGTTATAAAGAGCAGAGGATATAAGTTCAAACATTAAATTTGGTTTATTTCATCAGTTTTAATAAGGATTAATGTTCAGGTTCTTTTGCAGCACTATGTACTTCAACAAAAACTTTATTTTACTGTCTTTTTCTAGAAGCTCCATGTATCAGTATCAGCCAAGATAAGGTTCATCAAAAACACCCCTTCATAAGAAAATTAGCAATCTTGCTTATATGTTTTCCTTAAATTTAAAATGAAGCTAAATGAAATTATGAAAATGTAATGTTTATTTTGAATCTAAATGAAGATGGTGTTTTGCATAATCATTCATACTATATAGTGTAGAAAGGAAGACAGTGATTGAAGATGGGGAAAAAAAAAGACTGGTTTTGTATTGCTTTGTTGTAAATATTGCACATTACCAAATGTGTAAAAAATAAAAATAAGAAAATGTATCAAAAATCCAACAGCCTAATAGTTGACACTGAAATAAGGGGTTTGAAGTAGCATAGCTTGTTGAGTAAGTTTTAGTCCTTGTTGAGGGGACCTACAGTATGGTAGACTTAGTAGTGTGTTTTGCATAAGTTCATTTTAAGGCTTTGAAAAATCCTCAAGAAATTTGTACTGATCCTATAATCTAAAATTTTATAACATAAAGTAATTATCAGCAGTTGACATGGTGCGTTTGAGATGTGCCACGTTTTGAAAGTCTCAAACTTATAATGTTTGGGTGGTTTTTTTTCTGAGGGGGTGGGGGTGTTAACTGGGTGCTCTGGAAACGGTTCTGTTAATAGTCTTTCAGAATAATTCCATGAATGTTCCTGGATCAGTGCTTAATTTCTGATTTCTTATTTACTCCTTTCCTTCCCTCTGCTTGGCAGGATGTGGTATTTTGGCTTCTTTTCACAGCTTGTAGCATAATCCGTGTAATGCATTTAATATTTTTGTGAGCTTTTAGGCTATTTCCTACTTATTTTGTTTTACAGTTGAAGTTACATTTGATTACATGTATTTTTGCCTTAAACAAATCATCTGTTTCAATTTGATTGAAAAAGCCGCAAGTGAGAATTGTGTAACTATATTGCATGGGATGCTTAATGTTCCAAGAATTGAAATTTGCTTTAAAAATAGCTTTTCTCAGTTACCACCCATTGCTATAACTATTGTAATGTTCTTTCAGATGTAGTCATGGAATTTGAAGGAAAACTTGGTTAGACCATCTATTTAGTATTTATTAACATCAGTATTACAAAAAGCTAACCTGAGAACTAGGCTCTTTTCAACAAGGTACAACTTTGGGTCTTGTTCAAAAACAACCTTACCATGGGAGAGTCTTAGCACAATTTTACAGAGAAGTGGTGTAAAAATATACCGGAAGATCGCTAATTTGAAAGATACATATCAGGTTCTGGTTATAATGCAAAGTGAATCACCAGTCTGCTCTGAAAAGATACAGTGGTAGTATTTAAGATCTTACACTGTCAGTGTGTTAGACATGAGAATTAAATGTAATTTTGTGATGACTCCCTAAAGTACCTATCTTTGTTCTTTAAGCATCCATCATGCTGCAACTGGTTGCAAAATCTTAAGCTGAAAATGTTGTGCTATACATTTTCATTTTGGAGAAACTGGGTTTGTGGAGGTTGACAGTCTCTCAGTAGGTATTGTCCTTTACCAGAGATTCAGAAGCCATTTCACCAATGCTTTTAACCCTCTTAAGGTCAGTAGCAGCTTGCCTGACTTGGTAGTAAGTGGTCCAGTAAATATTACAGTTGACATCTGAGTGACCAGTTAGTGTCAGAATATCTGACGCATTTCTGAAATTATTTGTGTTATTTCTGTGTATTGGTGCAGCTTTAATTGTTCTTCAATGTCTGTAGTTTAGGTTCCAATGGAAGATAAGAAAGAAGGAGAAATACAGTATTGAGTAGGGTAGCTGAGGAGATCATTTTAGTTGTTTCTAAAAGAGGAGTTCAACTGGGTAAAATCAATAATGCATAATATAGGATAATTGCCTGAAAGCAATTCGTAGTCATTAAAATTCCATGTATCAACATATAAATTTAATTTTGTTTTTATCCCAATTGTCTAGTTTATCCTAACTGCTTGAGAACATGTATGTTAACGTTTAGATTTGTATGTGAATGCACTCACAAAGGAGATACTGCAAGCCAAATAGAAATTGGAATGAACAGTAAAAAAATGCTAAAAACCTATTCTTAAAAAAAAAAAAAAAAAACACCAACCAACAAACCCTTTGGCTGGGTATGCAGCCAAATGAAGAGCTTGAGTTCATAAAATTTCATCTGCATTGGAATCCGCTTCCTCAGTTGTGTTTTTACCACTTAAAACTAAAACACATTTAAGATTTAAAAAAAAAAAAAAAAAAAAAAATCAGCCACTTTCTATTTGTCAAGAGGTATACCATAAAAAGATTCCTTTGGCTAAACTGTAATTAGAGAAAAGCAATCTTTTAAATTTTTTGTGATAACTAATCAGTGCAATACTGATTTCTCACCCTTTATAAGGTGTAAAAACCAGTATCTTTTTGTCAGGCAACAGGAGTAACCTTGTTTGAATGTGCAACTTCCACGCTCTGCAGTATGTAGTCCTTTAGCAGTGTTTGGGCCAGAATAAACTTTTTGGCTTAATATCAGGATCTTGTTACTCTTGTTCTTAATCAAAAACCACTTTTCCTTAATTATTTATACCTTTCATCTCACCTATTATTCCATGGTTAGTTTCTGTAACTTTCATTTGTGTTATGCAAACTTAGCAAAATCATGATAGTAATGGTTTACTAAAAGTGCACCACTGAATTTTTATGCTGAGAAACTCTTATTTATATGGAGTTCAATATGTTAGGAATAGAGTTTTGCTTTTATTTCTTTGTAAAGTTGAAGCAAAAGTAACGCTGAATCTGCAAACTCTGAATGGGCGCTGTTCTCAACTCTGCTAGAAGAAATTAATGCTGTAGATTTAAAGTTGTTCACGTTAACGTGTAGTAACTACACATAGACATCACCAAGGCCCTTTCATTCTCCGACAGGTAGCTGTCTCTTAATTAAAACACAGTAGAGCTGAATATCTTATTACAGATTTTCATCTCAGTCTTATGCCTTAAAAGCCATAAAATATTGGCTTTGTTAACAAATGTAAAAGAATGCTGTGTCAGAGCTTGGCAGTATATTTAAGTGGCTGTTTCCAGTGGCTGTGTCAAGCAGATGTCATTCTGGTTGGATACAGATAAAGGTATATAAGTTTGAGTTCCTGGGCATGAAAATTGTCAGCCATCAGTATTTTCTAAGTGACTGTTTCTATTTCACAGAATAGCGGAGAATAGAAAAGTTTAAATGAACAATTAAAATACTTTCTGTTACTCTGTAAAACTTAGATTGCGGTACGTTTGTATAGATTGTGTTTCTGAAAAATAAGGATAGTGTTGATCACAGCCTGTTTGCTGGTTCTCTTCTGGTTTACGTGGGGTGTTGGTATTGGTTTGGGGGGCTTTTTTGTCTGGGGGTGTGGTTGCCCGCTGCATACATGAGAGAGAGACATAACCATTTTTTAATTTAAGTCCTTTAGTTCCTTTCTCTGGATATGAGGGGCTAGTGTAGTTTTCTTAGAATGACATAGTTCAATCTCATAAAGTATCCTTTTCATCTCTAGTCTGAAAGCTGATGTCTTTAAACACCATGTTTTTAAATGTAACGTAATGGATGCAAGGAGTTGAATTTAATGTTTATGAATTGAATTGCCAATTGTTACTAGTTTTATCACAGTAGTTTTATATGCAGGTTTCCTAATACACAGTAGATATAAACGAAGTAGTATAAAGTTTTTTTTCACACCCATATCTGCGTTGATTCTTATGTAAAAATATCCCTTTGGGATCTACCGAGAGGCTTAATTTGGATCCTGGAATAATAGTCTCATCCCATGAAATGTAATTAGAGTTCTAATTTTAATATTAATAAGATGAGCAGCACAAAGTTCTGAGTCATGTATTAATCCTATGATTAAATATTTTTTCATTTTAAAATTAAAAGGATGAATTCTGAACTTCAAATACATTCTTGCGCAAGAGACTCCGTATCGGTAGTTCATTACTACCTGCAGCTATTTCAGTTGCTGCAGATAAGATTATTCTATTTTATTTACTGGTTGTCAGAGGCTAAGTTACAGAAGAATTTTAACATAGCGTTGGTTCACAATATAAGCATTGACTATTACGGAAGATTAAAAGGGACACATTTACAAAACCAATCATAGTGTCATCCTGGTTTATATATTATGTTGTCAGCTGTTTGCCATATTATTACATTAATATTTGAAATAATAAAAAAGATGACTATCCTAAGCTATTGAAGTAACCGGTCTTGACACTTAACACTAATTAAACTTATTCTTTGAGATAATAATTTTGCTTATGATCACTCCAACAAAAAAAAAGACACTAATTAGTGAGAGAAACTAAGACGTAGAAGACTTTTGTCAGAATGTTAAAAAAAAAATTATAATGAAGGCAACAACACAGATAGAAAATTCCTCGCTACCTTGTAAGAAAATTGTCAGCAAAATAGACAAATGCTTGCTATAGGATACATTTAAAAAAAAACCCAGACTTTAATATTTTGTTTTAATACTTTTAATATGTAGGAGGAACTGTTTTGCATATAGTTGAGGTGATACCAGTTACCATTAAAAAGCCACCTTCTTTTGACCATAAGGAAGAGCTGCTCCATATGCCCATGTAAATGTTGCCTTTATTGAGAATCAGCTCAGATAGTGAATCCTGTTCAAAGATAACAGAACGTGTTGTTATAGGTTACGGAGAAGTTGTCCAAAGGTACTGTGGTGAAAAAAGAATGTGAGTTTTTCTTCGGAGAGACCTATGTGGACAGTCATACAGAAGTAGAACAGAGGGAAGACGGGCCGTTTCAGTTCTCCTGTGCAATGTGTTAGGTCAGCTTCATAACCTTGTCCGTCATTCACCTGTGTGTAGCATATCTCACAGTAAAAACAAAGTAACTTTTTTCTCTCTAGTCGACATCTGGGTAGCTCAAGGATATAAACTGCCTCAGATACGAACTTGCCTTTTCAGCAGTGGAGGTGAGACCTCTGACACATGATGTTTTATTTCATCAAGTTGCAAGTGCTGACAGTGTTGTAATGGCAGTCTGCTTGGCATCCAGTGGGAAAAAAGTATCGCAGTTCTGAAAGTCACTCCTCCTGGTATTGGCGACTAACAGCAATGTGAACTAACCAGTTTTCCTAAGTCAGAGGCAAAAGGGAAAAGAGGGACTTGGGGATGGACAGGATGTATAGGGAGGATCCCAAATTAAATAGAGGGAGGGTTATTGGTTTTCTTAAAATTTATGTTCTTGGTTTATGACTGTCGGCACAAGTGGTATTCCTTCCCAAGGAAGGCAGAGTGTTTCAAATAGCACTGGAAGTCCTCTCCTTGATTATTAATAATTATATACACTCTCCATAACAATGTTATGAACTGTCCTCTTGAATTTAAACAGCCAAATGCTAATATTATTGTGTCCTACTGGAAAATTACCACTTTCTACAGCACTTCTCTGCTGTTTTTGAGAATGAAAAACCTGAGATTTATTAAACAAGTCTACATCTAAGGCATGGCCCTTAGTAACAGGAAGGAATGAGCTCGAACCTGCCTGTAGGTTGTTTTTTGTTCTTAATCATCCTGAATATCCCGAGAAGAATCTGTCCCCTTTTAAGTCTTTGGGAGACTTCACTTGACCTGTTTTGTCCATCTATGAGAGCAGTTTTGTTGTTCTTGTCCCACAGAAAGTCCCTTTCGCCTCCAGTTTTACCTTCCTGTCCATTAAGTCTATAGGGAGCACATAAAACGCTGTTCAAGACTTCTCACTGTTTCTCCACTCCCCTGAATAGAAGGAACTGTAGAAGCACTGATGCAGCGATGCAGAGAACACTCTCTTCTCCCATAGTATGCATGAAAGAATGTGACCAATGGACAAGAAAATACAGCTAATCCCGTCAGCTATAATAACCAGCTTTCTGCAAGGTAAAGAACCAGCCTTGTATCTGCCCCATGTCAATGGTGTTAGGTTACTCATTAGTCTTTCACACACAAGGTAGTAGTATCTAGGTGAATATTTGGAGATGTTTTCCTTTCATACAGACTCAGCTGGAAAAAGACAACTTTAAATTCCTTAAATTTGAAAAGAAGCTTTAAAAAAAAAAAGTTCATGGCACTGTTCTGAAATCTAGCACTAGTTCTGAGTGAGCAGTCGAGATTTTTGAGTAGGTACTCAAACATACTAGGAAAGTGAAGTCAGTGTGGTGGTTTCAACAGATGAAACAAAAACCCCAGATCATAAAAAATATTCATGTCCCTTTTCATGGGGTGTATTCTTCTTTAAAAAATTCTTTATAGGGAGTACTTAATAATAATTGCAAGAGCAGTTGGTAGTGAACTTAGGGTAGATTTCAGAAAGTTAGATCTCAGTAAAGTAGCACAGGGGTTTTTTGATTTAAACGTTTTTTCCATGAGCTATATTCTTTATGGTGAAGTTAGTAATTATGTTGTGTATCTACAAATTGCAATCTGATTTCCTCTTTAAAAGATGTTAGCTTAATGTATAAGTAGTGGTATTTAGAGTGACAGGAAGTTATTTTATTTTATAATTTTTTTTTCAAATCTTTTTGAGTTAAAACAGTGTTTGCAGGAGAGAAAATGCTGCTGTGAAGTACAAAAAAAAAAGTTAAATAGGTTAAGCCCCCTGCCTTCTCAGAACTTTAAATGAGCAAAAACTGAGTGTTAAGCACACAAAAAATAAAATCTAACATGCAAATTCTGGAGGGAAAGGAGCTTTCAGCTGAAGAAAATTATTTAGCTCTTCATGCGATGTAGTTTGTAAAGTTTCTTTAATACAGGTTTTCAATTCACATTATTTTGCATTGTGCTACACTTATTTAAAAACAAACCCAAAAACTGTCTCACTTTAAAATATCGAGAAATAGAAATGTCCAACTTGTTCATATTTATTTCTCATTTCTCCTTCTGTACTTTCAGAAGTTTTAAGCAGCGAGTAGGATATTTCCACATTCATTCCTCTCTCTCATCATAAATTCCCTAATCTGTGCCATAATTGGGTTAAATATTGCCAAAATATCTTCCAGAATGTTAAAATACATTTTGGGATGTGTCTCGGTCATCTTCAGGAGGGAAAAATAGCACACTGAGTAGAATTCTTGTAAAATGAAAACAAAAGCTTATCAGGAGTTGACTAGCTTAGGCAACGCTCTAAAATAGAATATTGTTCCATGTTTAAAATAAACCTAGCGCTTGCTGTTTAGGAAAATACAAGCTGAGCACTGAGGGTGTCTTTAATGTTGTTTCCACGTGTCCACCTTGTTTAATAGGCTTACTCTCAAGAACATCATGAATAGGTCACTTTGAATGTCTGCAAGAAGAAATTGGCACCTCCCTGCAAAGTTATTACAAATAACTATAGATTTTTCCAGGTTTTGTATAATCTTTCCTAGTAACTTCAGAAGTGTTTCCCACTGTCGTCTGCTTGTTTGTCACAGCTTATTAATTCACAAAAAGCTTGTCTGCTGAAAGTGGCTCAAAAGTATGCAGCAGGTGGGAGAGGAAGCCTCCAGATTATTTGCCCGTGCTTTCTCTTCAGACACTTAGGTTTGTCTTGTTCTTTTCCCCCGACCTCCCACTGTGAGCTGTCCCTAAGATATTATATCATCTAGAAATTGTGTGGCTTCCAAGTTCGGTTGGAGTAAAGGCTTACATCAACAAGGTCAAGGAAAGGGACTTCCAGTCCATGTCTTCGATGGGAATGAATACCATGAGCTTTGAAGGCATTTAGAAAGGAGGAGGTCTTCACTATTGTGAACAGCCTTATATTTTCTTTCAGTTAATGTTTTACACAGTATTTTCTTGGTAGTTTGTTCCTTAAGGGAATTGAATTGCTCTAAAAAGAAAATTCAGCTTCAGATATTGCCTCTTTATTGAAAAAAAAACCCAACAAACCTTTAAAAAAATTCTATAGTTCTCAGTCAACACAAAATAGAGGATATCTGTCTGCAGTCACCTTTACCAATGTATGTTTCTCAGTGCTTATTCGAACTTGTGCACAAAACTGTGTGCATGCTTAACTGGAAAATTTAATCTTTAACTCCATGGCATCAGAAATAGCTTTTTCCATAGGAGTTTTGTTCCATAGATGTCTGTGGAGCTTGCTTCAGTTCAGTAGGTAGTGAAGAGAATTTAAACCATGATTGTCCTCTAATTCTGGTTACAGGTGACCTGCATATGTTAATTGTAATCTTTGCAGAGCTTTTTATTTTATGTGCTGGTTCTCCCCTGATCTTTCCTAGCAGGAAAATAATTCTAACTTTTGTAGACCTTCACTTTTTTCAGGTCCCTTAATAAGAGATCAAGACTCTAAAACATCTTCTCTAACTGTTTTGATGTTATGTGGCTAGATTTATCTTCTTAGTTTCTTTTGCCATTAATGAATATATGCCCAAAGCGTTTTTACTTTGTTTGGTTTTCCCCTACCCACAACTTTAGGAATTGATCCCACTCATACTGTGTACAGCCTGCCTCCATCCTGAACCCAAAGAGAGAGATCAGCTTCTACACATACTGTTCAATTTGATCAAACGACCAGATGATGAGCAAAGGTGTGTTTGCGTTTGTGTGTTGCGGGACAAGAGGGAACTTTTTTTCTCTGTCAAAGAAGCAGAACTAATAGAAACTGGATATTATTGGATGATTTTAACCAAGTTTCACTTAAGCTGATATTTTGCTGGTATAGTGTTGACAGATTTATGTGGACTTTGGGACTTTCCATTTCCATGATCTGTACTTTCTAGTTACTGAAATGTAAGAATGTGCTTGGTAAGCTGCAGTGTAACATTTCAGTTCCTTTTTTGTTTAAAGATGAACTGAAACACTTTGTTAAAAGGAGCTTTAAGATCATAATTCTTAGCAATGGTTGATGTAGAAATCAAGATAGCTTTTTTTAAACCTCTGTCTTAGTGTATCTTAGTGATCTATATGTTTCTAAGTTAACTACCATGTTTAGTTGGGGAAAATAGCATGAGAAAATAGTACTCTTCCTACTTATGGTTCACTGCTATGGTAGCAATAAAAAATTCAGAAGACTGATGCAGTGATTTAATTCTGACAAGTGTTAAGAGCTTTGTTTTATTTTGGTTAAGACTTTGAAATGAAGTATACTTTTTATTTTGTTTTATAAATCTAGTTCTTCCTTAGTACTCAGGAAATCTGACTTTGTACCGATCTTAATAAGAATATCCTTAAGGTTGAAAGACAGTACCCTAGCTGGTATGTTTCCTTCTCTAACTGTGGAAAGATTTTTTCATATTATCTGTAGCTCTTCCATTATTTTCATTAGAGATGTTTTGTAAAGCATCTGTATCTATCATTGCTCTATTCTGTCTTCAGACAAAACAGGCTTTACAAATAGGTGGAAAGCATTTCTTTTGAAGATTCTCTGAAACTGAAGTGCTCTGGTGTCTCTCTAAATTGTTCCCATGGTAAAATTTAGAGATGAGGTACAAGTGAAAGAGATGGCTTTGGAGACAAAAAATGCATAAATAAATAAAAGCAACTTGTAGCACAGTGGCATTATGCAGATTGAACTTACAAAAAGATGCAGTCCTTGTTCTACTTCAGATTCATTAGAAATCTGTTTCTGAAACATCTACCATTATCTAAAATGTTTTGAATGTCCCATGCAGATTGAGAAGCTGAAATTATTTTGTGGTTGAGGGGGGAAGGAAATTGCATCTCGCTTGTAGTCTCTTGTAGTTAATTTGTCACAGGATTGGTGGCCTATCAAGTAGATTTTTCATATGCCCGTTTAGCTGCAGTTAGGTATGTCTTTTCCAGCAGCTAAGAAAGAAGAAAATCCAATCTTCTTTTTCCTTGAAGTTGTTCATTCTTTGTTGTGAGTTAGAGATTTAGATATAAAAATAATTCATTTTCATCAGAAATTTGGGAATAATATTCTGCCATAACCTCCAGGACAAAACATGTATATACATAATCTACATTTACACACATAAAAATCATAATCTGTTTTAAAGGTGCCATAACACCTGACTGAAGAATAAGTAAAATTCCATCAAATAAAAGAGATTCTGAATACAAATTAGACAGAAAATACTTACTCAGAATTTCAGTTGTTTTTTTGTACTTATATATTTGTATGGAAGTGTATTTTGCATGCTTGTTTTTTATCTAAATAAGTTTAAGTAGTATTTTAGCAGTCTTGTGCGATAGAAGTAAGCAAAGACATTCAGGTTTAGTCACCAGAACAATGGTATTAATGATCTCGTATGTTATTTGTCTACCTTCTGCTATACTGTACAGGCCTGCATGATACATTAAAGTAGCAATTGATAACAAGTTGACTTTTTAAATTTGTTAAATGCAAGAGACTGAAATGTGACATTGCATTTCTAATAACGAACCCATTAAAATAAGTATTTTATTTCCAATATTTGACCTTGTAAAGTATGTTAACAATTATGCAGAAAGCCTGTATTATACTACTTGCCCATGTGAGAGGCTTTTTGGTGCATGCAGATATAGCATATTGCCATAGTCTTGTACACTAACATTATATTTAACAAGGCCACTTTTATCCTCAAGGCTTTGCTCATTAATGTACTATTCAACTTTTCAAAATGTCTATCAAATTCTGTTCTGCAAACGAACAAATACGTGTTAGCTTTATGTAAACTTCTTTTTGGACAATTACGTTGGTTTTGGAAGCTAAGGAGCCATGAAGAAGTCAGATTAATGTTGGTGTCCTTTAGGACAAGGTTAAAACATAGTTCAAAATGCGAACTCTTGAAGATTTCCAAGTAATGTACCCAGAAGCAGCACTCTTAATTAAAAGATGCTAAAATACATTAAGCTTAGTGTATCTAGTATGACTTTTCATTGGTCATACGATACCACCTCTTACAGAACACACATAACTTGCTACATATTAAGCAAAACTCTAGTAATTAAGTTTTTAATATAACCTTTAGGAGTGACAAAAGAACCTTGAACTGTGTAATATGAGATTGAATTGCTTACCAGTGCATGCAGTCACTTTCTAAAACCTCTAGAAAGAGTTTAGAAGTGTTAAATTACGTCTGTTCTACTCTAACTTCTGCCTTGTTCCTCTAGTCTGATTCTTGATTCCACTTTGGTTTCTGTACTGATAAAGCAAACTAGTGCCCTGCTGAGTCATACTGATTTGCTTTATGTTCCTGCCTAAGTGGTCATATGTACATAACCTGGAGACACCTCTCTGAAGAAAGCATTCCCAGCATCTTGTTAACAAAAGAGATCATTATGACAATAAGTAGAAAGAAGTTTTTCCCATATCCAGCCTAGACTGCAATTTTTGCAACAGCTTAGTGTTAACATTTTTGTTTCAATGACCTGTTGTTGAGATCCTTACAACCTTTCCTTCCCCTGAAATACCGATTGTTGTCATATACTTTTAAGATGGTTACAGTAAAATATTTAAAACATTAAGATATTGCAAAAACATTAAAAAATAAAGTTCCCGACTTTATAGGCAAGGCAAAAGGAAATCTGCGTTAATTTTGAGATTTCATAGAACTTTTCTGAGAAAGTGCGATTTAAAAAAAAAAATTATATATTTTGGCTTTCCCCATTTCTGATGCGGAAGATTTCAAGTGATTACTGTATTCTGCTATTTGCTTTTTTAATATCTTATGAAAGTATATTCTGTTGCCCAGTTCTGTGATTAGGTGTAGCATGTAGAACCAAAGACAGGCATTCGAATAACTATTTTGCTTGTTGTAGAACTCGGAATTACCACAGGCTTTTGTCTCCATATTGCTATCACATATCAGCTGTTGATTTCTTGAGTCTCATCTAATTGTTGCATTTTTGTTTTCCCCCAACCTTTTTACCTTGATCAAAGGTCTAGTTCTCTGTACGTGGTAGAGGAAGAAAAAAACAAAAAAAACACAACACAAAACCAAAGAGCTTGCTCTGATTGTTGGCCTAAAGAATGCTGGGAAAAAAATATTTTTAATAGACTATTTCTCCTTGAAAAGATTCTGAAGGTGAATGAGTCTTTTTTTTTTTTTTTAAATGGAGTATATTGTATAACTGGTTAAGAAATAACCAGCAGAATCTCTGCCTTTCAACCTTAAGGGCATACTATTAGCTGCAGTATATGTGGAGGAGTTTAGACATGACACTAAAATGGCAACAAATTAATTCTGGCTTACTTTCCACAAAGTAATAATGAACAAATTCTCAGTGGTGTCTTATTCTTACGGTGGAGGTGATAAAATAAGTGTCTCATGCCCATGCATTATCATTCGAACCTGGTTATTTAAGTGTCGATGTAGGCACTAAAAGTAAATAGAACTTGTGAACTGCATGCAAAGTTGGTATCATTCGAATCCTATAAACAGGAGAAATAGTTAGAAGTAAAAAATCTTAGCAAGATAAACACTCATTAAATAAAAGTTAAAATATTACAAGTGACAAGTAAATTTTATTGAAATTTTAAATATATCTCTGTGCCTATGAAATTGATGGAACAACAGTGATTTCTTGCAAACTTTGAGGAAAGTTAAAAAATGCAAGAATATAAATACAAATTACTCAGGTGATTGTAGATACTACTAATTGATTAATCGCTTCCCTTTTATAATGGACTTTAGAAGATTTCTGACAAGAGTGAAGTCCAGTATTTTGGGAGAGATGACAGTAACTTGCATGTTAGAATGTTGCAAAACCATGTCATAAAAGAATTAAGTTACTTGTTTTGAACAAAGTTCATTAAATCACACAAATGCTTCTAAATAAAACCAGTATGTGTACTTGACTAAAATACTGGTAGCATGATAGTATTAAGTAATTTAGATCCTTTTACTGCATAATGAATCATAGTATTCAGTAATAAGAATTAAATGGGAGATTTGGTCAGAGATTCCTGATCTCAGACATTAGGAAATCAGAGATTCTCAGGCTCAGGTTTATGGAGTTTGGGATCTGCAAGTTTCTGGAAAAGGCATATTAAATAGAAAGCAAGATAGAATAATAGAATAGTTTGGGTTGGAAAGGACCTTTAAAGGTCATCTAGTCCAACCCCCCCTGTGATGAGCAGGGACAATAGTGGCTTTCAATTCAAGATTTAGCCTTTAAGTCAGTGTGTGTGGTGTGAAATTTTGACTGTAGACAATTACCTGTTGCCTGACAGCATCTGCCTTTCCTAACTTAAAGAATATATTCTATATATTATAGAACTTTACTTTATAAACAGATTAAAGCTTTAAATTTATGTTTTCAGACAGATGATACTGACTGGGTGTGTGGCATTTGCCCGACACGTTGGACCAACACGTGTAGAAGCTGAGCTTTTACCACAGTGTTGGGAACAGGTAACATTATTTTGTGCTTTACACTGGAAAATTAATTAAAAATTCATAAATGTTGAGTTTTATTTGTTTGAGGGGGAGGTTGTTTTGGTTTTGTTTTTCGATGAATGGCAGTTCAAAGTATTTTTCAGAAAGAGATTTGGATATTCTTTGTCCTTCTTATATATACTTTTATATAACATTAAAAAGAACTCAGAAGCAGAAAATTTGTCAGACTATCAGGAGATTCTAGTTACCTGCATATGCCTGCATATGTTTGTTGTATTGAAATGTAGATACGCACATGTTCATCATCAGTGTTGCCTACCCTATTGCCAGGTAGGTGCCTTTATAATTTGTACTCTAATTTCCACACCATTGGAAATCCATTTTTATTCAAAGATTTAATTTGCTGATTTTTATATTGTACTAAGTCCCTGGAGCAGTGTCCACACTTCAGCTAGTTTAAACTCTTAAACAGAAAATTAAAGATCAAAGTAGTCAGAAATAAGTCCCCTGTAGATGGGCATGATTTTACACCTGTAAGATCAGCCTGAAGTTCACACGTGACTTCTAGAATCACAATGACCTTTTCCACAGATACTCTAAATTAATAGAAATAACTGAACAACCAAACTGAAATGCTCTTACTGTTTCATCTGAGGCATAGAAACAGAACAACATGAGTTCAGGTGAAAATGCATGGTATTTTCCTACCATAATGAAGAAAAGTGAGTTCATCATTGCCTAAAAGACAATGAGTGACTAAGCCATGATGGAGTGGTAATGCTTGCTTTGATGGCACAGTCTTTCTGGTCTGAAAATTGTCTACTGTTCCTTGCATAACGCAGCCATCTGTGTTTCACAGTCAAGTCCAAGCTTTAATAATCTTAATGCTTTCTGACAGTAGAAGTACGTATTATATGCAGCATTTGTGCTTATATGTATGACTGATGTATCTATTGATTAAATGAAGGACTCATGGCAATAGTAGTTGAACACAAAATAAACCACATTTTGTTTTCTTAGTCCTTCTCATGACATTTAAATAGTGTTTAAAAAAAACAGTCTCCCTTCAGTAAGAGCACATCTTCATCGTACCAGTTTCTTGCTAATTGCTGATGCAAAAGAGAAACCAGTCCAACTGTAACAGTACAGCATATCAGGCTGCCAAGCCATATGTCATCATGCATTTATTTAATGCAGTTTGCCAGACTTTGTTTGCAGTACTGAAACCAGGTCATTATTTTCTCTGGCAAAATACCAGCTGAATCTCATTGTCACAAGGCTGAGTTTGTAGAAGGAACTCAAAAATACACATAATTTTCTACCTTTTCTCAGTAGATGCTTTAATCATGAAAGCATTCATGCAGTTGGTCTCCAACCAAAATCTGTTTACAGATGCAGAGGACTGGGCCCTCAGAAGATTCAGCATTTTCATCCACACATTCTGGAGCTCAGAGTTACCAGGCTAGTCTTTGTGATCTTTCTACCTGCTCTTCAGAGGTAGAATTTGGTAGCTGGCTCATCTGAGTTTAGATCGAGGCTCTGTGAATGCTAAAAGTTCCCTCAGAACTAGTGACCAGTTAATTGGCTTCCAGAATTATAGTACTGCTTATTAAAGACAAAAGGAAAAGAAATGGTAATAAACATTTTACAGTTATGTTTAAGTTTCCAAAGGCTAATAATCTTCACTGAACACAAACCTTGTGGAAATTTGAGTCTTTTCCTCCACTGTGTGAGGAATATGTCTTTGCAATATCAGGGGTGATATTTATACTGCCTTGCCAGTCCACCTAAACCAGTTGAAACTAGTCTTTGCTGTTCCCCTCAGGTAGGCAGAGCTCCAGAAGGCAAAGTGTATCTCTGGTACCAGTAGGGAATTTGCATTTGGAAAGATGGCACATAAGTCAAAGATACTATAGGTATTAAAGCAGCCTGTTGCATGCCCATAATGTTTCTCATCTATGAAATCTCCATACTTCCAAAAAAATATAACAGGTGCCCTACTGATGAATGACTGCAAAATAATGATAGACACACTCAAAGAACGTTCTCCCATGCTTGAGACTTCAGTTTAGTCCTGAGGCTCATGATTTGTTCATTTGAGTCTCTTTCAAATGATCTTTGTGACACGTCATTTTTGAGAGTTCTTGGTGATTTCAGATCAGAACAGTGAGAAAGTTGAAGACATTAATACTACATCAGTGGTCAGATACCATTGTTCAGTGTGCTGTGGAAATAAAGTTGAGGTAAGAAGTTGTCCAAAGTTGATTTATTGCTATGCCTTCATCTGTAGTTTCTCCTATGCCAGTAGAATTGAGAGAATCACAAAATGGCTGAGGTTGGAAGGGACCTTTGAACACCCTGTAGTCCAACCCCCCTGCTTAACAGAGTCAACTAGAGCAGGTTTCTCAAGACCAAGTCCAGTCTGGTTTTGAATATGTCCAAGGATGGAGGCTCCATAACATCTCTGGGCAACGTGTTCCAAGGTTTTGCCACCCTCCCAGTAAAACAGAATTTCCTCTATTTCATTTCCTCTTGTCCTTTCACTGGGGACTGCTGTGTTCTTTACCTGTCTGCAGATAGGCACAGATATTTATACGTATGAATAAGATCCCTCCTGAGCTCTCTGTTCTCAAGACCAAAGAATCCCAGCTCTCTCAGCCTCCTGCCATATATCAGATACTCCTATCTCTTAATCATCTTCATGTCTCTCCGCTGGACTTGCTCCAGTATGTCTTTGTCTCTGTAGCTGGGAAACCCAGAACTCTACGCAGCACTCCAGATGTGGTCTCACCAGTGCTGAGTAAAGAGGGATAATCACTTTCCTTACCTGCTGGTGATGCTTATCCTAGTGCTACCCAGGATACCATTGGTCTTCCTTGCTGCAAGGAGTGCATTGCTGGCTCTGCTTGGTCTCTGTCAGGCCATCTGGGTCCTTCTCTGCTAAGCTGCTTTCCAGCCAGTTGACCCCCAGTCTGTCCTGGTGCATGGGAATTATTTCTGCTCAGGTTCAGGACTTTGCACTTGCCTTTCTTGAACTTCATAAGGGTCCTGTCTGCCCATTTCTCCAGCCCGTTGAGGTGCCTCTGAATGGCAGTACACCCATGTGGGTATATCAACCATATATATACCTATCTGGGTCTATCAACCGTCTTCCAATCTTGTGTCATCTGCATACCTGTTGAGGTGCATTCTGTCTTGTCATCCAGGTCATTAATGAAGATGTTATACATCTTTGTTGTTGGCCCCAGGATGAACCCTTGGGATGCACCACTGGGGACTGGCCCCCAGCTGCAACTCTTTGAGCCTGTCATTAGTTCAGCCAGTATTCCGTCCACCTCACTGTCCTTACCTAGCCCAGACTTCATCTGTTTGTGAATGAGGATGTTACAGGAAAAAGTATCAAAAGTCTTGCTGAAGTCAAGATAAACAATATTCACTGCTCTCCCCTTGTTCACTGAGCCAGTCATCTCAGAAAGCTATCAGGTTGGTCATGCATGGTTTTTCCTATATAAATACATGCTGACTATTCCCAACCACATTCTTGTCCTTTGGATGTTTGGAAACGCTTTCCAGGATTAACTGCTCCAACACCTTCCAGGAACTGATGTGAGGCAGACTGGCCTGTGTGTCACTGGATCCTCTGTCTTGCCCTTCCTGAAGATAGTAGTGACGTTTGCTTTCTTTCCTGTCCTCGGGAACCTCCCCCATTGCCACAACATTTCGTTGATTGTCAAGAGTCTTGCAATGACATCAGCCAGCTCTCTCAGCACTCATGGGTACGTCCCTATCAAGGCCCACAAACTAGTGTATGCCCAATCTGTTTAAATGCTTCCTAACCTGATAATTCTCTACCAAAGGTAAGTCTTCCTTGGTCCAGACTTTCGCATGGGTTTTAGGGACCTTGGACTGCTGCAGGCAAGTCTTCCCAGTAAAGACCGAGACAAAGAAGGCAGTGAGTACCTTGGTCTTTTCTGTGGTAAGATGATTGTCTTACCAAGGCTATACACTGCATAGCAAGAGAGAAACAAATAGTCGCACTACATGCATATCCTATTTTACCTGACAGGATCAAACTATTCACATTTCCCTCTCACCATTTTACCCTAAAATTTTTTATTCACAAAGTATATTGAAACAGATCACACGTTTCATTGTACAGCTATTACACTGGCCATTAAAGCTGACTCCACCAGGATGCAAACTTGGTTCCGAAGTGTCAATATTAAATTTGTAAGGCAGAATTTTCGAATGGGCTTTGAGTGGAAAGGGGAGGTAGCACAGGATCAAGAGGTTCTTGGGAATAGGAGCTGTTTTCAGTCACATTTTAGAGGTGTGACATGTTTATGCTGGACTTGAGAGCAGAACTTCAATAGCATACAAGTACTTTTTGGCTTAGTATGTGTGTCGTCTTTTGACCCCGATTACTTAGCAAGACCTAGGCAGCTATGCTACACTGGTTGTCTCAGAGCACTAGAGGGCACTTGTGTAGTTCTTAGAGGAACGGTGCTCTTGAACAGCTACACAAGACAAAATATTTCATGACATGCCAGCTCAGAAGTTATTCATATTCTTTAGAGTACAGCAGCCCATACACTGCTTTCCACCCTTCTTTTTACTGCATATACGTACATGCTTCTCCGATTCTTCTCTTACCATAAGCTCTGTTTTATAGGGCAACTGGAGAAGGCTGTATCTGTCTTGCCTTTATGCCTCAGTGCAAGAATTTGAGGCTGCTTAGTACCCATATGCAACTTCTATGGGCACAGTCAATGTTTATCTGTGCAGACGTAATGTTTATACGTGCAGACGTATCCCTCCATTGCAGTTCATTCTAACCACATTTTGAATACTGGTTACTGCAAAGCAAATAGCCATTCTGTTTCTCTTTACCAGATCAACCACAAATACCCAGAGAGACGGCTACTGGTAGCAGAATCCTGTGGAGCTCTAGCTCCTTACCTTCCAGTAAGTATTAATACTGACTCTAAATACTTTGCTAGTGAAAGCAAGGTGAAAATCTGTTGCATAATGTAAAAATCCTTTATAATTTTTAATATTCCCATGTGTGTATGTTATGCATACAGTCACATTGTCTTCTACTTTATATCACACGTGAGATTCAATAGATCACATTAAGGACAAGATAGCTTATGATAAAGGAATACAGGTCAATCTAGCTATAAAATGTCTTTAAAGACAGTATGTTCTGAAAAAATCATCTTTGTTTCAGTAAAGATGAAGTAAAGATAGTTAGGACCAACTAGGGAAATAATCTCTGAAAAAATAATTGGCACCCAATAATAGAGTTCTTCAGACACTGTGGAATGTTACATGAAGACTGCTGCCAGTCAGAAGCAGCAACAAAATTAAGTCAGTGGTGAACTAGAATTTGAAGCTTCAGAGGAAGAGGAAAATAACCCAAATTAAAAACCCACTTCTCCAATTTAGGAATGCAGTGATTAAAGATTCTGTTTTAAGTCTAGGCCTATAGTAGTTTTTTGCTGTTAGTTATTTGTGGTTCCATATGAATTAAAGGACCTGAGTTCTGTGCTTAGTAGGACAAAAGGCTCTCTAATGAGGCTACTGACATTTTATATTCATTCATCTTCTGTTGTGAAAACTGAATGTGTAATATTCATAAAGAGATCTATGGTTGGAGGAAGGGATTTTGTTTGTAAGCACTAATAGAAGTGCAAATTATTTATAAAAATTGATATAAACCCGCATTTCGTGCTTCACTGGATTTGACAAGTATGTTTCTTGTTTACAAACAGAAAGAAATTCGCAGTTCGTTAGTCCTTTCCATGCTGCAGCAAATGCTAATGGAAGATAAGGCAGATCTGGTACGAGAAGCTGTGATCAAAAGCCTTGGCATCATTATGGGATATATTGATGATCCAGACAAATATCAACAGGTATAATTTGGTTTGGGTTCTGTATGTGTAAAATGTCTTCTATAGTTATTTCATGATTAGGGGGATGCATAATTTCATGTATTTTTATGAAATCTTTCCAGACACTTTTAAAAATTTTGATGGTTTATATGAATGTTGATTTTATTGTATCACCAAGACCAAAAAGAAAACATACACTTACAAGTATCATTAGAACCTCAGGTATAAGCCTTATACAGAAGCTTCTCTAATAATTCATAATTTGCCTTCAAGAACTTATCACTTCATTGCCCACCTGATACTATTAGCCAATTTGATATCATCACTTGCCAACAGAGATTTGTCTACTACAAAAAAGTCTACTTGTAGTTCAACTTACTACTGCCTAATAATGTTTCAGATAAGTGAAAATGAAGAACTTGCAATCCTGTCTCTGAGTTTTTGAAGGCAGAGTGGTAAAATGTGTTTGTATTGATTCTGATAACTCGAC